TTTTAAAAATATTGGGGGTGGGAGGGAGGGGGGGAGGGAAGCGGCGGAGTCGGTGAGCGGCCCTGCCGTGTTTGCGTGGGTAACTTGCCCTTTTCGAGGAGAGGGAAACTGAGCCGTGGCTGAAAGCGTGCGCCTCGTTCCTCCGCCGGCTGCGCTTCCCAACGGCGGCCTAGGAGTAGCCCTAAGAAAGGAAGAATAATGGCAAATAAAATCTCCTCGTTCTGCAGAGTCACCTCTCCCTTAGTCTTCGTTGGAAACTCGCGTGAACTTCGGCGTTTAAATAGCGTTAGCCCCATTGTTAAGAGGGGGAGGGTGGAGATCGTGCCTTAGGAAAATATAATAACTTGTCTTGCAACTTTTAGCGTTTCCCGCTTTTGATGCGTGTTGCTCACCAGGTTTAGGGGTGTAAAGATAATCTTTCAACGCCTTTTTCTTTTTTTTTTTTTTCCTTTTTTGACCCAGAATTAAAATAGCCTGATGGTATGTGTTTCAAAGATTGTAGCTGCGCTTTATTTTAATAGATTGCAGTTATAGAAGATAGACACCCAGGAGATTTTGCCTTTCGCCATGGCTCAGTTTGGAGGACAGAAGAATCCCCCTTGGGCTACTCAGTTTACAGCCACTGCAGTATCTCAGCCAGGTCAGTTTACATATCACTTAATGTTTGAACCCTGACATCTAGTAGATTTGGAGATTCCATAGTTGGGTATGCAGCTAAGAGTGGCACCATGCTAACTAACTTATTTAAATTCTATTTAAATGGTTTTAGTTGGGAGTTTTTCACACAACAGAGATGTTAAAGATCATTGCCTAGTACTAGCTGTTGGGTTGGGTTTTTTTAAGGGGTGATAAGTCAAATCCCAGGTGAATTTTTATTGATTCTCTTGGTCAGTAAACAAGATACTAAGTTATTTATATCCAAAGATGTGTAAATCATATTACCTTTCATCACATTGCATTGCTCTAGATTAAATAATAATAGCACTAATAAGGCATTACAGGTTTTTTAAGTGCTGCCTGAGTTTCTTTTCCCGGGCAGTGTAAATCAACATTTACGAAGTATTTTGCCTTTACTAATATATCGGACATACTTCACATAGTGAAGAGGTCTCTGAAATCTGCTTCTTGGATGGGGAGGGGGTATATTTTTTTTTTTTATGCCAAGTTAGAACTCGAGGATCCCTGTAACTGAAGGTATCACCCTGATAATGATAGAGGGTTTCATTTGATTTAGCTAAGAAGCCTTATATAATCTCAGGCTAGTGTATTTTAAAACCTAGCTGGCTAGATTTTCATGTTTCATATTGGTTTGTAACAAAAGGTTTTGAAGCAAAAATGTGAAGCTCGCTGCGTGGTGAATTTTGGTGCTTCCATTTCCAGTCCTGGAATGCCTTCTTCTCTTTTTGAGTACAAAATGTTTCCTAAATATTGTAGTTTCATTGTCTGATGTGAAAATGGTTCAACAAAGCTGTGGTACTTTGAGGATTCAGGATGTCAAAATGTGAGAACAGGCAGTAACCTTTTTGAAGAGATGTCTTTCTGAAGAGTTCTCTGTTTTTTGCAGTTGTCCTTTGCATCTTGCTCTAGTTTGATATGCAGTTGAATCACATACCTCCTTTGTTAGTGGTTTTACATCTTGGAGCTTAGCAAAAGTTGGGAATGCCTGCTATTCTTTGGAGGTGCATGTCGGGAGGCCGGGAGGAGGGAGGGGAAGAAGGACAAATCTTTCTCCTGTCTCAGTTTCCTTTCCTGAAATGACTCCTCCATCTCCAGTTTTTCCTTTGGGCGCTGGTCTAATCTGAGTGCATATCCTTGGGGAACTCCACCTGCCCCTCCATGTGTTTCACAATACTTGGTCCCAGTGTGCCTTTTCCTTTTCCTCCATGCCCATTCCGTCCCACTGTCTACCTAAACTGTTGCTGTACCTAACCAGCTGCCTACAAGCAGTTGTTCACTGTTTCTCTGAATAGCTCACACTTCCCTTATCCAAATGGCACTACTTTCCTTCTGTAAGAAATTGCTTAACAGCTGGAAGGGTCAGCATTGGGAACGTGGGAGAGAAAAACTTTGCTTTTGGTTCTTGTGTCTGACTGGGTGATACCTTGGAGCGATCACTGGATGGCAGCATCTGGGCTGGAGTATTCTTGATAAGTTGGCTGATGTGACTGCTAGTGCATCAGAAATAGTGGTGGAAGACTGAGGGCCAGCTCCATGTCCTGTTTCAAAGGGAAAGCGGTGTAAAACCTGCTGAAGGGGAGGAGCTGGCAGCCATCTTAGACCTTGCTGAGCAAGGACCAGAAGGGGGCCCTGGAGAAGAGGTGGATGGAGCAAGGGCACTAGAAGCACACACCAACTTCTTATACATTTTCTTATTCCTATGACTCTGCGTTTGGTTAGCCTACTTCTGAGCCTCCTTAAATTAAATGAAGTGCAAAATTTAATTGGGGTAGGACTGGTGAGCATCAGTTGCTGTGAGAGATTTTTCACCTGCTTAATGAGGACAGTATCTCCAGGAATTTTTAGCTGTTCATCTGATCCAGCAGCACCCAACTCAAACATGAGAGCCATTAGAGACTAACATTTGGCTGCAATTTTGCCTTCTTCCTGTGCTAGTTCCACCTTCCTTCATGTTCCTAGTGTCCCTCTTCACACTGTAGTATCTTCTCTCCAGCCTCGCTTGAAGGCATTTAGCTCCTTGTGTGCAATCCTTTCCTATTCCTACTTAGCAATACACAATCGCCATGCCTGTGTCCTCTTTCTTCCCTGTCTGTACTACTGAATCCAGTCCTTGGGATTCTACTGCGCAGCTCCTGTGTTAGTACCTGTGTACATACTTGTTCCCCTGCTTTTTTTATTGGCAATTATTGTGATTTATAATGACTTGTAATGCAGAGCACAGGAAACTTCTTTTGCAAAGTATGCAGTGCTCTCTGGTACTGCTGAGAGCTGAATAACAGTGTTTACAGTTGAACTGCAGCTAAGTAGTCACCTTTCATGCACCTTTCAACGTGAAGCTGTGACTGTCCAGCTTGCCTGATGAAGAGAGATGCTGTCAGTGCTCAGGCGTGCTGACTAGCACGTGCTACTTCTCACCTGTGGCTGCTGCTCAAGAAGTTGTGCAGATCAGCTTACTCTTGTGAATCTCAGTGTTCATAAACTGATGTAAAAAAAATTACATTTACCAAATTTTTATATCTTTTCAGAGGATTGGCTGAAGTTGTTACATATATTTATGCATACCAGCTGTTTTTACCCAAGTGTCAGGTTCCTTCTCCAAAGCATCAAGGTGCTTGGGTATGGGGGAAAGGGATCTTGATTTTTACAACACAAGCAACATGGTATATAGATTTTTCCTAAGCTGTTGTCAAAAGTGGTGAGCGATGGTGTTATAAACCCAGCTTGATAATTGCAAAAAAGGTAATTTCAGGGTTGGTGTGGTTTTGTTCATTTGGTGGGTTTTGTTTTTTTCCTGTATTTCTGGCTTGGATGCTCTTTTGGCCATCCCTGGTGAAGAAGTAACTATATGAGTTAAGGCTCTTAATTATTAAGGTGTGACACTCTAAGGTAGTTGTGGAGTGAGATGCCATGTAATGAAGGGTTCCTGGGATCCCTTTGGGATAGCTTACTAATTACTGTCTGTGCCTGTGGTATTAGAAGAGATACGGGTAATCAGGTGCCAGCAAAGATCTATGTGTGAAGAGAGACTCCTGCCTGTAACACAGTGAAATTGTTTCTCTACTCCTTGTCTCATGGTTTTGTGCATCACATGACTAAAACCAGAATAAAGTCCCTGCTATGTTGGTTAAGCATTGTTAAAGCATAAATTAAATCATGCCTACTACAGGAAATTAAAGTTTAAAAAAATTAAAAATTATCAAATTCTTAGATAGCACAGATTGCTTTTTGCAAGTACTCTTTATACTTTTAACTTGCATAAAGATGTGCAAGTTCCTGAAATGCCTGCAAAGGAGAATCCCCTCCTATTCTCTCAGCTATTAATTTTTGACATGTCTTTGGTTTGTATCAAAGCGCTTGGCATGTGCTGTTTTCAGGGTTATGATTTCTGGTTGCACAGTGAAGCCTGTTTTTGTAGAACTGCAGTCAAGGGGAAGTCCTGGCTATGCTGCGTTTTGGCTGATTGGTGTCTTCATCTTTGCTATATCAAGACTTTATTGCATTAGAGTGAAGAACAGTGCACCTGATGAAAGAAAGCAAAAGCTCCTGAAGCTCAGTATCTTGTTATTACTGGTGGCCCTTATGAGGTGACTAAAGAAAAGCATAAGAATAGGACAAGCATGTAGCCTATCTCAGAGCCACTAAGAAATAGCAGCTGATGCACAATTCGCTGGCTTGCTGTGAACGGATGTCGTGTGATAAATACACTGAGCCTACTTTCTGTTGTGTGCCTGTCAAAAGGAATTTTTTTTTTTTTGGAGTTAAATTGTATGGTATTTGTATTGCAAGTGTGTTAAGTTTGAAGAAACTTAAAAACCTGAGGACCCAAACTCAATTTCTGACAACTGTGAAAAGTGTCCAAAGCCTAGATAGGGTACTCTTTTACTGTAATCCTAATAAAGCAATGTCACTTACCAAGGAGGTACATGTAGCAACATACTTTGAAGATGTTTCCCTAATCTTAAAGGGTCTCTGGAATTTAGAAGCAGCAAGAGGGACTACTAAATACTGTCATTTTGTTTGCTGCAACAGAAATTTCTGTTACCTAGAAAGGTGCTTGAGCTACAGCCTAGGATTCTTAATTTCTATCCAAGCCCTTTCAGATGGTTTTGCCAAGGCAAGGATCTCCATCACTGTACTTACAGAGATAATTACAAATGCCAAGAAGCTTTTGTTTGTCACTGCAGTTGCTTGTTGCCAATAATAATAATATGGCAGTTAGATGTCAATTCCACAGTCTGTGATCCATTCTCTCTTTTCTGTGTGATTTCCCCCCCCCCCCCCTTTTTTTTTTTAAACTAGTAATGCACACACAGTCACCTGTTTAAGCGGAGCCTGTTTGACTGAGATGAGTACACAGATGAAAGGTAGTCAAATTAAACTCCTGCAGTCTTTTGTCTTTGCCCTTTGTTAGTAAGTTGATCTGCAGTGTTGTAGATGACATGATACCCAGTTAATATTAAATGCTCATAAAGTGACAGTAGAGGTGGCAAGAAATCTCCCCCCCCTCCCTGGCCAAAATGGGATGAGAGTCTTAGGGTGGGCTGGGAATTGTTTGAGGTAGTAACAGGTTATGCTGGAAGGGAAATCGTCATAGTGGAAACTGAAGAGCTGAGTAACCCCAAGATCTGGTTTGGGGAGCAAGCATGTTAATATTTTTGTGGGTATCCTTGGTACAAAAAGTAGGAGAGAACTTGTGAAACTTGCTTGATGACGCTTTCCAACTCCATTCCCCTGTGTTGGAACAACATTAGAATAGAACATTAGACTGAATGACAGTCATTGACAGCATAGTCAAACATTCAAAGGTAATAGCATGAAGTTAATTTCTGCACTAATAGGAGTTTCTGCTCAGCACGTGGAAATAAGAGGAGAAAGATTAATACGTTGGTTATTTGCCTGGAGTGAGCCAGCAAAGTAACGCAGCCAAGAAAAGTGAAAGTTGTCCCAGGATGCAACAGAAAAGCATTTTCATTAGATTTAAAGGTCTTTTTAAGGTGTGTTATGTGAGGCATTGGTGAGGTTCCAGATGAGAGTGTGCTTCTGGATGGTCAACAATGGACATTCAAATTGGACTTGATGGACAAGCAGGAGGCAAGAGGATCAAGAGAATAGAGGGCCTGTCATGGGAGGAGCCTCAGATTTTGCTTGCTTGGCTTCTAAAGAAACCCAAATGTTGGAATTTTCCAGGGAAAAAATTAATGTAATACTGGAAGTACTGTAATTTTGCTGTACTATAGAATGCTTGATTTACTATTAAAATAGTATTACTTCCTGGAATGCTTAACGTGACAATATTTGATACAGATCATAGTGATGGTGATTGTTTTCACTGTTGCTTATATATTTCGTCCATGTTTCATTCCAAAATTGTAAGATGATCAGTGCCATCAACTTGTTTTCTGAAGATTGTAGTCTGCTGGAAAGAACAGCGTGGTAGAGAGGATTGCCTTATTCAGGATCTGCTGAGTTGGTTACAGCATTTTTGTGTATTCTATGATGATGATCACCAACTACAAGCAATCTCTTACTGCATCCCTGGGTCAGCAATGAAAGCTTCATTTTGGATCACTAAGAATAGTGTGGAGCACAAACTCTGCAGGAAGAATACTGTAAATCTGTTCTTCATTTAATTGTGCCTCTTTAATGGCTTTGGAAGAGAAAGGAACCCTGTTCAACTTGAATGTTCTTCAGTTCTGAAGATGGCTGGCTGACCTGTTTTTGCTGGCAATGTTTCCTTGCTGAGTTTCTCTGGTTTTATTTAAATATGTGGACTAGACTGATAGCTTGATGAAGTGATATTTGATCATGCAGCTTCAGATAACTTTTTTAAAAACTCCTGCTAAAGAAGGAGCAGCTTTTCAGATATGTTTGCAGTTCTTCACTCAGATTTGCATTGTGCAGGGCTCTTTGTCCCTAAAAGTTCCGTCCGTAAGGCTTAAGCATACCTTGTTCAGAAGTATCGCATGCATAAGAAGCATAGCATGTGGATAGCTGCTCCTAGTGATTTGTTTAATCTTCTGCAGGGAATTAAAAGCTGATAGGGCAATAAAATAAACTGATCTTTCCTTCCAGGCAGCTTGAGTCTGGGCAGTACAGACCCTTCCTAGTAAGAGCTGGAGAGAGCATGACTTGGTCCCTTTATACGTGGGGACCGATTAAACCCCCTGTTGTTATAAGGCTGTCCTTTCTCTACCAGCCCCCACATCTACAAAATTCAGCTTGCTTGGGGACAAAGGCAGCACTGAGTGAAGTGAAGCCTTGTGCTTTTTCAGAGGACATGTTCCATAAGCCTCCGTTTCATGGCTGCTCTTAAAGATTTCTCTTGCCCTCAGATAGAATGAAATATATTAATTAATTTATAGGACAGAGCAACAAGCTTCATCTGGCCCATCCAAAACCTGAAATAAGCTCAAGAAAGAATACAGCGTGTGTGTGTTGAGTGTGGGCGCAAATAGGGATGACAACTACTAGAGCTGTAAAATCACGAGCAACTTGAGAGAAGGAGGTTAAGTGGTCTCTGTGCCTCTGCTGTGGTGTACTATTTGTAAATGAGTTTAGAAGAGAAGCTAGTGAGGTGTGATCCTTTATCTTGCATTTTGGAATTGGATTTATCTACTTCACGAGCTTGACTCAGGAGTGAAGCATCACATACTGTGTCTAGTATTACTGTCAGAAACCTCAGCTGTTTAAAGTTGCTCTTAGTGCTTATTGTGTGTGTTCTCTTTTCAGCTGCTCTTGGTGTACAGCAGCCATCGCTGCTTGGAGCCTCTCCTACAATATACACCCAGCAGACGGCATTGGCAGCAGCAGGCCTAACTACACAAACACCAACGAACTATCAGCTCACTCAGACAGCTGCTTTACAGCAGCAGGCTGCAGCTGCAGCAGCTGCATTACAGCAGGTAAAGAAAAAGGAGCATTTGCTGTTGACTCTGAACTTTAACAATATTAAACAGTGGCTTGGTAGAGCTGTTCTTTCCAGAGAAAAGCAGAATGGGAAATGGTGAACATAACAGTATAAGCCTGTTTAAAAAAACAGTGGGATTTTTAGGTCTACAGCTGTCAATAGCTGTGTTAATCTGTGAAGGTGGGAATTTTGGCTATGGAGGTGCTGACTTTCAGCTATGGAAAGCCTTTTGGGAAAAGGAGTTTTGCAGCACCCAAACTGAGAATCTCAAGTTCCAAGTATCTTCCATCACTATATGTATCCTTACAGGCATTTTGCATGATTTCATACTGTGGACTATATACTGTATAAGTGTCAGGCTTAACGAAAATTGCTGATTTTAGCTATAAAGAGCACATCAGAGTTCACTGTAAAGGCTAAGAGTATTTGTTATGAACATAATATATGTTGATACTATTAGTTATGTTTTGTATTAGAATGGTTAAATGTGAATAGTTTCTATCTAAAACTTGCTTAGCAGATAACTTGTATTTGGTATTATTGGGGTAATAATACTTCCTGTTTATGAGATATTTTGCTTTTATCTGTTTCAGCAATATTCACAACCTCAGCAGACTCTCTATAGTGTACAGCAACAGGTTTGTCTGATTCTTACTGTGTACATCACAAATAACTTTAAAAATAATGTTGGTTGTGTGTCTTGTAGGATTTGTCTGCAAAATCATCCTCATATGGGAAGTTGATAAAGAAACTAAGTAACATATTTTTGTAGTGAAGGAGAGCTTGAAGCTCAAAAACTTGGAGAGATGTATCCAGAATGGAAGCCTGCCTTCCTTCATGCAAAAAGGAAATTTAAAAGTCACGTACTATTCCATGTGTACACGATTCCTGCTGAACTTTGCTCTAATCAGGGCCGTGTATTTTAACTGCTGGAAAGATGCTGTCCAAAAAAGTTCCCTTTTACATATGGTCTTTGAACTTAACAGGATTTTGAAAAAGAATAAAAGGACATGGAAATTACAGGCCTAAGCTTCTCCAGGTGCCAAAACTTTTTTTGGTACTGTTGTTAACTTTCAGTTACAAAACGCCCAGCATTTCTGCTTACTGAATAAACCTGGATTATGTAATCTTAAAATTAACCACGTGAGCACAATTTTATGCATGTGCAAACTGCTGAAATGACCAAACCCCAAAGGACTATTAACTGACTCAGATTAAGCAAAAACTCTTACTTGTAAAGAGGACATAAAATTGTACAATTTCCTTAAGCATATAAAATTAATTTATAACTTTATTTATTTTAAGTTGCAGCAACCTCAGCAGACCCTTTTAACTCAGGTTAGTTTGGTTTTATTGTTTGGTCCTCATCCCCAAACACAGATAATGCAAGAGTGCAAATTTGTGACGTCTTGGGTAGTTTAATATGTAAAATTAACTAATATGAATGGACGTTTTATTGGTACAGGTTTATTTTATCCAGATGTTAAAATATGCATAGCCTTGGTTTCAAAAATTAATAGCAACCACTTTTCCTTAATCTTGAAGGGAATATGTGTGTTGATTACCTTGTAATTTTTTTTTGTTGTTTGAACTTCAAATGTTCAGTTGTTTTGCAGTAAGTAACAAACTGGGAAAATCTTTCTCTCCTTTGAGAAGGAATTTAACTTTCTGTGTTAACAGTATTGCAGTAGGTATATAGAGAGGCTTAAAAAGAATCTTGCTGAGCTTGACAGGTTTCAAACATGCAACCATTTAAAACACTGTAAGTTGCTCTCGTTCTGTTTTCGCTTAACCTTTTAAAACAGGCTTTTAAAAAAAAGGTAAAAATAGCTTACTTAATTTTATTGTGTTACTGGGTTCTGCTTTTGTAAGAAGGCAAGCATGTGAATGTTGAGTTAGGGAAGGGTTTGTATTAGCTTCAACCTTTACTGACTTCTAACGCCAGGTTTGGGATATAAATGGAGAATAATCTCTTAGGTGCGTATTCCTAGCAAAGTTAGGAACTTATCTCCTCTTCAGGCCCACTGTATGGGTTACCTGTAGACAATAACGCGGTCTTCTTTTTTTTTTTTTTTTTTCTAGACAATATATGTATTTTGGGGAAGTTGACTTTTTAAAAAAAAATAAAAGGATAAATAAAGCCAGTCTTCATTCAAAGTAGAAAAAAAGTCATCTTAAAAAAACAGCCAAACAAAAAACAAAAACCCTACCACAAAACCAAACCAAAACAAAAACCTTCCACCTTCTGAAAATATCTATTCAGAATAATTGCTTTAGAGACATTTTAAACTCCTGTCTACATGGCTAAAGGAACTGTTCCTTGTAGGTATGTCAGCTGGTTATAAGATTTATAGTTTGCTTTATTTTGCTTACAGCCAGCGGTTGCACTGCCTACCAGTCTTAGCCTCTCTACTCCTCAACCGGCAGCCCAGATAACTGTTTCTTATCCAGCACCCCGGTCAAGTCAACAGCAAACCCAGCCACAAAAGCAGCGTGTCTTCACTGGGGTGGTTACTAAACTACATGATACATTTGGTTTTGTGGATGAAGATGTCTTTTTTCAACTTAGGTAAGATGTAAATACTTGCCTGCAGATGTACTCTCTGATACCCTCACTAAATAAAAAGTTTAGATTATTGCATTCTAATTCTGTGCCTCCACTGAGAGTGCCTGCAGTTAGTATGTTGTTTTCTGTCAACACAAAGTCAGATGGTCAGATAAGTTAATAGACACTAGATCTGAGTTCCTTTATGTGAATTTTTGAATTTTCTTAATGCAAAACCAAAAGCTGGGAGACTCAGAAGGTATTAAGCTCCTTATAATATGAAGTTGCAGAGTTTGTGGGTGTTTAAATGCATATAACTTGCTATATGCCTGTCTTAACTAAGTACTGTTTAGGGAACTTCTGCTTTTGGGCCAAAGACAGGAATTAAATTCCTGTGCATACTCCAAACTGAAGCAGATAGTACTTTCACTGAATTTGGGGGTAGATGCTCTTCCTGTAAGCTTTTTTTTAATTAACTTTGTCTACTTTCTCCCAACTTTAAATGTAACTTGCAAATGTAAAACTAGCTAAATAAGACTCTCACGATACATTTTCTGTAATGTTTGCAGTGCTGTTAAAGGAAAGACACCTCAGGTGGGTGACCGAGTTTTGGTAGAAGCTACTTACAATCCTAATATGCCATTCAAATGGAATGCACAAAGGATCCAGACACTTCCAAATCAGGTATATGGGGTTACCCAGTCTAACTTGTACTGACTGCTTCTGGTTTAAGCTCACTCACAACTCGTTTTCTCTTCTGCTGTTAGAACCAGACACAAGCTCAGCCATTACTGAAGACACCTCCGGCAGTTCTTCAGCCCATTGCACAGCAGACTGCATTCAGCGTTCAGGCACAGCCGCAGCCACAGTCCTTGTTGCAGGCACAGATATCAGCAGCTTCAATTACACCTTTGCTTCAGACACAACCTCAGCCATTACTGCAGCAGCCACAGCAAAAAGGTGCTCCTTCAGCACACAGAGTTTGTTGTGGTCCTTCTGGTGCTTAGTGTGTGATGATTATATTTTTGTTTGTCAGAAGACTGAAGTAATAGTTGAAATAATATGGCAAGGAACCTATAGAATTTTCAGTTTGAATATACGTCTTCCTGCAGCTATATGCAAGGCACATTGCCTGCAATAGCTCAAGAATCACATGGTTAGTGAAATCCCCATGGACTCCTGTTCATATTAAGATTTCACAAGCTGAAAGCAAATTCAATGTAATTTTTATTCTGACACTTGCACAGACAAGCTGGGGAGTTGAAAGTATTAATGGCAGTGTAGTTCTTCAGCATCTTCCAGAGTATTCAACAAGATCAGGTTTCACACAGTTGTATTGTTAAAACTATTATTTCTATATTTGTGTTTTATGTATTTCTGTTAGCCGAGTTGGCGTTTGAGAAAATAAACAGTGCCGAACCTGGCAAATCTAAAACAAAGGTTGTTGTGGGGTCACTTGAACTTTGAGTGGCTGAAGAATCAGTAATAGGATTGATAGATAATAAGATAAAATTAAGATTTGTGTTACCCACAGTAAAAGTAAGGGGAGAAGATCTTAAGCTATCACCTCAACAGAACTGTTTTGGATAAATGCTTATTACAATCTAATTAGTCATTCATTGGTGTTCAGTAGTGTTTGCTCCATTTACAATCAGCTGGGTAAATGTCTTGAGATGGCAAAAGTATGTGCAAAACAAATTACTTTTCCAAGAAAAGGCTTAGCTATTTACTGTGATAGCTTCTATGTGCTTAGATTATATTAGCTTCCATCTTAAGAAGATGGTTTTAAACCAGTTTCAGTTACTAGAGTCTCAGTTTGCATTAGTGAAGAAAAGCACAGGTCTCTTGAATTTCTTGGGGTGGGTATTAATAGATAGATTTATTTGACTCTAGAGTTAGTTTGGAAAATGTACACAAGTGAAACAACTGTAAAGCAGCAATGTTTGTAAAGGGTAGATAGTTGCCCCCTATTATGTATTGATCTTGTATATTTTTGTTTCAGGTGGTTTGTTACAGCCCCCTGTTCGTCTAGTTTCACAGCCTCAACCAGCTCGAAGATTAGACCCACCATCCAGATTTTCTGGGAGGAATGACAGAGGAGGAGACCCTATGCCAAACCGAAAAGATGACAGGAGGTATGTTGTAGAAGACTAGACTATAATCAAAGCATTCTGTAAAGACCTATCTTCAAACAGAGCTGAGCTGCTTGCTCCAGAGCGAGTCAGTGATAAATACAAGTGGCTTTACCATTAGGTATTGGTGAAGAGCTCTTGTCTATCTGAAATAAAGGAATTGCATAATCAGTCTCTCTTTACAAGAGACAGTGTACTGAAACAAACTGAGGAACTTCACCTCTTCTTTTGTGAGTCATCTCTGACAGGTCTAGCTTCTGTTGTGCTAGAAAGCTTTTTGTGTTACCAGCATGCAAAAATATTTGTATCTTGTATGCATTTTTTAAGTCGTGAGAGAGAACGAGAGAGACGTAGGTCCAGAGAAAGATCACCCCAGAGAAAACGCTCCAGAGAGAGATCACCTAGACGAGAGAGGGAGAGGTCACCTCGAAGACCGCGACGTGTTGTTCCTCGTTACACGGTTCAGTTTTCCAAGTTTTCATTGGACTGGTATGTTTATAGTGCCAGATGTTTACCTACATCTCACTTCATTGTGGGCACAGATTACTGTGAGCCACGTCAATGCACATGTGTGTAGCGAGTGTTAAATTATGATCTTAACTTCAAAGAAAGATCAAATATGTAATGGCTGAGAACTTTGTACGATAAACTGTTTCTAGGTTCTTTGTTATTTTTGAATGCTACTGAAAAATACCTTTATAACCCTGTTTAATAAATATTCCCTAAATGCAGACACCTTAATCGGAGGAGTGTTTAGTAGTTACTTGTTTTTAAACTTCAATCCAAGATACTCTAACTTAAATATATTGTTTTTTAAATTTTACGTGTATAGTTTTAAATACATAATGGTTGTATTTCCTGTTAATATACCTCTTAATTGTGTGCTTTATTAATGGTGCTTTTATTGCTGTATCTTTCAAATAATGTTGTTTATTTCAGCCGTAGCTGTGATATGATGGAGCTGAGGCGGCGTTACCAGAACTTGTATATTCCAAGCGATTTCTTTGATGCTCAGTTTACATGGGTGGATGCTTTTCCTATGTCTAGACCATTTCAGCTGGGAAACTACTGTAATTTCTACGTAATGCATAGAGAAGTAGATCCTATAGATAAAAATGCTGCTGTCCTTGATCCGCCTGATGCTGATCATCTGTACAGTGCAAAGGTTTGTATAGGTTTCCAGTATTATGACTATTCATTAGAAATCTTTTTTACCAATAAAGTGAAAAAGTGAGTATAACTGAACTGAAAATATTCTACAGTGATTTGAGCAAAATACAGAGTTTTAAGCTTTTTGGTAAAGAGCTAGTATGTAGAGCTAGAAGAATCATGACTGAAGTTCAGTTTGTTTTTCTGTTACTAGAGCTGTCCTAAGCCTTGTTTTTTCTGAGGTCTCTTCTATTCACTGCACCCAGTTGCACTGATCTGATTATAGGAAGTAGAGCCAGCTCCCACAAGATCTATGAGTGTATTTCTTAGGCAATTCATTCTGAGTAGTTAATGGAGCCCCCCCCCTTTTTTTTTTCCCAAGGGTCCTTTCTATGCTGTTTGTGCTCTTCTGTTTAGATATTTTCTTTTTTCTTTCATCTCAATATTTATTACTAAGTTGAAAGTAGATTGAGCATATTGGGATTATCTAAATGTATAAAAGACCTCAGTGTCAAAAAGTCTTCCTAAAACCTGTTCCATTTGAAAGCTCTTTCATTAAAATAGGTCTGAGATTTCTAGGTCAATCTGTTTAGAATTACTTCATGTTAAAGATGGGTTTAGAAACAAAACTCCCTTTAACCCCATATTTCTGAAAGACTTTACTTCTGTGTATAAAAACTTTGAAGCCTTGGCTCAAGTATCAGACATACTGATTTTTTCAGTCTATTGATGCAGAGCAAGAGCTCTCTTTCAGAAGGTTAAGCTTAAAAATATATTCAGTAATTGAGGAATAGCATCCCGTTTCATAATATTAACCTGTTTAGGATATAAGGCAACCTTGTTAGATTTGACTGAGCTAACGGGATGCTATGAGGATGCAGATAAATGTGTTGGTCAGTTCTCTTGTGATTGTGGCAAAATGGAAGGAAGTAGTCGGTTACTGAAACCAGAAATGTACTCGGTGTGCTTCTTGGTATGGGGTATTTGGCACGTAGTGATAACATGCAAAGCGTGTTGCTTTTATATGCTTTCAGTTTGTTTTTTTTAATAAGACCACATGTTGCATCCATATGGGACAGAGGGCAATTGGTCCTTGGCAGACATTTTAACATTCAGTTCTACAATTTTATTTTACCTTTACTTGTTCTGATTTTTTGGTGACATTAAGGAAAAAGTACTGGTATGTGTGTGTTTGCAAGTTGTGGTCATTGTTTACCAGTCATAGTGGGAGACCTTCACAAGACTGATCTGACTTACACAACAGGTGATGTTGATGGCTAGTCCTAGTATGGAAGATCTCTATCACAAGTCATGTGCTCTGGCTGAAGATCCCCAAGAACTTCGTGATGGATTTCAGCATCCTGCTAGACTTGTAAAGGTAAATATGCTTCAATGCCAGACACTTTTGGCAATAAAGGTTGGTTATAGAGCTTTTAAGTATTTGTTGATGAGGGAGAAGTTTGTAGGCAGCTAAACAATGGCTTCGTTTTTCCTCTGAGGAGACCTAGTTTATATGTCAATTCTTTTTCCAGTTTATAGGAGCTCCATCTTCACTGCTTTCATATTTACTGCTTTGTTCAACTTAGCTAAACAATAGACATTTGGAGAAACCTATATTAATTATATAATAATTAACTTCGTTAGCCTTTTTTTACAAGCACTTAGACTTTTTTTTAAGGAATCAGCTGTGAAGAGAATGCAAATGAAGCAACAGTTAAGTAACCATTGTATTAAGTGAAATTTAACTACTGTTAAACTGAACAACCTGTAAGTGCTGTGGTGTTTCAGGACAACACAGACTTGTTTTCCAATTGAACTCCATCGTCTTAAAGCAAATGGGAGGATTTGAATTTATAGATATCATGCTCTTGTGGTCTTATCTTTTGTAGCTTTGCTTTATCACTTTTGAGCAGGATCATCTATAAGTGTGTATTGGAATTAAGACACAAATTAGTATCTGTTTGTCTTTTGTGTTAGAAGGCTTTTAACTGCAAAGGAACAAGCCTATACCAATAAAGAAACTTGATGGAAAGTCTTGCCAACAAGAATGAGTGATGATGTTTTAAACCTATTCCATTTCTGAAATAATCTGTGGAAAAAAAACAACTGAACTCTTTCTTGACTGACTTTCATTTTCAGATTTCAAAATAATGTAACAGTTTACTCATGGATTTCAGTGTGTGTGCTATGAAATATTCTTTGCACTTTGGGAAAATGACTCTTTACCCCTAGCAGGGGAACATTCAGAAGACTCTTTCTGTCTAGTTTTTAGTGGGTATGAAAGGCAAAGATGAAGCTATGGCTATTGGAGGACACTGGTCCCCATCACTGGATGGACCTGATCCAGAAAAGGACCCTTCCGTGCTGATAAAGACGGCTATTCGCTGTTGCAAGGCTCTTACAGGGATTGACTTAAGTGTGTGCACACAATGGTAAGTACTGTACTGCAAAGCAAAGTACGCTGTAGAAATAATTGTCTGTTACCAGGAGTTTAAAAAAAAAGATGGAAAAACCTCTTTTTCTTTGTCGGCTGCTCTTGGTAGTGCAGGTAAACTACTCAAAGGATGTTCTGTTTTGTAATAAGCTTGATTGGTGCCAACTGTGCTGAATACTGCATTAAGAACTAATTAAAAATTCTGGATTTATTTTGACATGTTATGCTGTAATTTTTTAATGAATGCGTTGAAAATATTTTTCATTTTGTGCATAGCTGGAGAAGATCGTCAGGAGAACTTCATTTCATTGTTCTTTTGTTATAAATAAATAGCCGTTCGTTACATAGCCATATTTTCTCTTGAGTTTTTGTCCTGTGTTAACACTCATTGCAGTTTTACTAATAGCAGGAAAGTCTACTGTGTGCTAAATTTGAAGCGCTTCAGCAACTTTTATTTGCGCATTAAACCTATGTGTGCTAAAGAACAAGTTATAGAAACAGAACTTTGTTGGTTTTCCTACTTTTCAATTGTAATACCTTTTTACGAATGTGCCAAAAGAGAAAATATGGCTTCCATAATTTTTTTCTTTAGATAAACTTCAAGGTCTTGCAGCAAAGTTTCTTTACTTGATGTGCTACAAGTGATCTAGGCTCTTTAAAATGTATTGTAGAATTTTTTTTCCAACATGCTTCTTCCCTTGCAACAGGTACCGTTTTGCAGAGATTCGCTACCATCGCCCTGAGGAGACCCACAAGGGGCGTACAGTTCCAGCTCATGTGGAGACAGTGGTTTTATTTTTCCCGGATGTTTGGCATTGCCTTCCCACCCGCTCAGAGTGGGAAACCCTCTCCCGAGGATACAAGCAGCAGCTGGTCGAGAAGCTTCAGGGTGAACGCAAGGAGGCTGATGGAGAACAGGCACTGAACGCTAATCCCTTTTTCTATTTCTGCTTCTCACAGGCACAGGAACACAGGCACAAAATGCACACCACATACTACACAACATACATACATAGGAGGAACATAACTGGTAACAATGACTGGTAAACCAGCTTTCAGCAGTGTAGTGAATGTTGTTTTTTATTTTTATTTCAGCTAGTTCACTAACTTTAAATGTGTATGCTGATATCACAAATGGAATTAAATTGTGCTTATGATGCGCAGAAAATTTTTTATCGTAGACGTAGTTGCTGGAATCTGGGACCAGTTGTTGAGTGAGATGCAGTTTATGAATAGCTGTCTCTAAACATTTTGCCATTTTCTAAAATTTCCAAATTCTCTCTTGTGGCCAGTTCTAATTGCGATATTTGAAATTGAACAAACGCTAGTCTGAAACATCTGAATTTCAGGCCATGTGGCTGATCAACATCTTGGAATAAGGGAAGGTCTGACTGAACAAAGAGTAATTTGGGGGATTTAAAACCTGGGGGAAGATCACACACTGTGTGGTTAATGGAGACCAGCAGTGTCTGTGTAACCCCTATATTCTTTGTGGTGTTGCTTATCACCCTTTTGTGTTCCACAGATCTGGCTTGTATTGGCTGAGTGGCACTGTGATCATTTATAAAGTGGTAGAATGTGTGTGTGAACTTGTCTAAATAATAACTTTAGGAGAAGACTATCTGAAACAGTTGTGACCTTGCACAGATCAGCAACAGAATTTAAAAAATAAACTGAAATGCTTTCAAGCTTTCTGAATGATAATTTCTAAATTTTATTTGTCAGGACGAAGAGGAAAAGGATGATGGGGAAGCTAAAGAGATCTCTACACCTACGCACTGGTCTAAACTGGATCCAAAAACAATGAAGGTAACTAACACTTTTCTTAAAACTTGATTCCATTGTACATTTTCATTTTTAAGGCATGACCTGAAATATAGCATGTATATTCCCTTAACTGAGAGAAAAAAAAAGTCAGTAGTGTTTTATCTTCCTTGCTGATTTTATAGGTATTAGGTATGATATCACAGTTTGCAAGTGTGACTCCTGATTTTAGTAAGTGAATACAGCTAATTGAAACTATTCTGAACTTTGTACAATTAAAAGGGTATCACATATGATACATTAACTGGAAAATGAAAGTTCTGCAGTAATCTGGTGCTATCTGCTTGCATTAAAAAATGTGGGGTCTAAAATACTTTAATGTTAGTTTAAAAAGGCAATAATTATACAAAAATGTATGTCAGGAGACATCATAAAAAGTTTCCTCGAAAGGAATAATAGTAGTAAAATATTTTACTATAGTAAAATCCTTTCCCTGCCCCTCTGAAAAGTTCCTCAAAAAGGGATTCTTTGAGAACACAACTTTAAATGTAATATGTTTTATATATCAGTAAATATTAGTGTTTTTCAGTACAGATTTAAAAATACAGTTGACTTCAGTGCTCTTACTTAATTTTTACTTCACCTTTTCTGCTAATCAAATGTTTTGCAATGTCACTGGTTGATACCACTTACAGAGCTTTTATTTACCAGGTAAATGACCTTCGCAAAGAATTAGAAAGTCGAACCCTTAGCTCTAAAGGACTGAAATCTCAGTTGATAGCTCGACTGACAAAGCAGCTGAAAGTAGAGGAACAAAAAGAAGAGCAAAAGGAGCTAGAGAAGTCTGAGAAAGAAGAGGAAGAGGAGGAGGATAGGAAATCTGAAGATGACAAAGAGGTTAGGTTTTGGACATACTTGGTTTAAGTCTTATTAAATATACATAAAATATTATCTATAAAATATGTATAATTAAATAAGTATAAGAAGTACAGGAATATGCCTAGCTGTGTTGGAATTCTGTAGTTCTCGGATGACTGTACTGGGAACTCTTGCTGTAACTTGAGCTGCTGAATCGGAACGAAATCTTGGCAAGTTTGAATTTTTTTATATCAGCAAATTCAGCTGAAATGTGCAACTGCACTAAGGGTGTCTGAATTAATGTCAGACCTTAAATGTAAGGAAAAATAAATCCCAGGCTCCTGAGAAAAACTATGCTTGAGAACAGGTGAATACACTTAACAAGATCTTAACTTCTTAAACTTACGTGAAAAGCAGCTGCTTAGTTGGATTGGCTTTTAGTAGCGTACAAGCCGTAGGGAGTTGTGGAAATGGGAGGAGGGCAGGTTCTGGTCCATAAAAGGTTATAGCTTTCAAACAGTCCAGTTTCTTCACATGGCTAATGGTTTGCTTAGGCTTTTTTTCCCTTATTATGAAGCTTTAATTTTTGCTTTTGGATAAACTTCCTGCGTATTGAAGTTTCTCAGTTTTGCGGTTGGTACTTGGTCTGTTCTGCTATTTCACAAGGATAAACAACATCTGTGCAATAAGGCAAAAGCTCATCCACAGAAAAGGGACATAAATGTCTGGAGAATGTATTGTGTGTTAGTTACTTTTAAACCTTCCTTTTTGTGTACTGCCTGCTAACCAGTATGGGATGATTTGAAATTTTATATATCTGTGTAAACCCTGTTGAGGGAGCAAAGGCCATGTGCTTGCTAATTCTGTCAGCTGCTGCCTTTTCCCAGAGCTTGGATGGGCTTCAGCTATCCTGGGGTTTCTTGCCACAGCTTTCTAAGATCAGGGGAGGGAACTTTGATTGTGCTTCCTTTTTTAAAAATCACAAGCTCTGCTGTGACTTTTTTTCCGTACTCATAACACTACAGTATTTCTCTCTTGGCAATCAGTAAGCTCCTTGGTATTTTTCCTTTTTTTACCTTTTGTTTGATTTGCATCAGCTGTATCTAGAGAGATTGCATTTCCCATAATCAAAAGAGCTGAGTAAATTGTCATCTGATAATTGTTAAAGCTGTGTTGGGTATCTTTGGGAGGATGATGTATGAAGCCTTTACTCTTCCTGTATAAGGAATAAGACAGCTTACTGTACTGTACAGCTCTGAAAACACCCCTAAACAAACAAAAGGCCCCCTCAGGAGCACTGACTAGCTAGCATACCTATGCTAGCTTGCATACCATTTCTTGAAGTGAACTAGCCTGAGTCCTTGCAGTGTTGAATAAACGTACTGTGGTTAGCACCGTAAGATAGTTGGAAGGTGCTCGTTGCTCTGTGGGCTAAACAACACTGCATGTCCTGCTTTGTGTTGCTCAAGTTTCCAGTTGTCTTAGGCAAGTGTTGGCAGTGGACAGAGTACGCATTCTGGAAATTCTAGTCTGTGACTTCTGTCTGTCTTCTGTGTTGCATTCAGCAGCTTGGGCTTCCCTTTGCTTTCTTCAAAGCAGTGAGTCCTAAAAACTAATACATAGGCTGAAACTTCAGTCTTGGAATATGCTGTATGTTATTTTTTTGCCTCTTTTTAGGAAGAGGAAAGAAAACGTCAAGAAGAAATGGAACGTCAGCGGCGGGAGAGACGATATATCTTACCTGATGAACCAGCAATCATTGTACATCCTAATTGGGCAGCAAAGAGTGGGAAGTTTGACTGTAGCATTATGTCTCTTAGTGTTCTTCTGGACTATAGATTAGAAGATAATAAAGAACATTCCTTTGAGGTAATTTAGCTATACTACTTAGCCATTTGTGTTTCTTTTTAATTCTGTCTGATACCTGCAGTATACTTAAATTGTTAGATGTTTATGATAGCATGGCAAAATAAAACTTAAATAAGTTAGCTTCTTTGTGCAATACCTAGAAAAAGCTGTCCAGTCTTTGGTATGTGGTTTACAATAGCAGTATAGTCAGGCACTGTATGATATTCAGAAGAAATGCGCTGGTTTTCAGATATGGAACTGAGTTTATAATTTATACAGCTAGTCTAGGTCTAAAACTACTGCAGTACAGGAAAGAAGCATTTCTAAAAGTTGTTTAAGGTTTCTATATTCAAAGCAGACAGTAAAATCTGACACTATATAAAATTCTGACATGGTGAAAGTTGTAAAGTTAGCACCTCATAGCTGTTTAATTATAAGTGTATAAATTTTTAATATGTATTTTAAATTTTTTTTTCAGTTCTTTTTTCATTCTTCTTTATGTGCAGGTATCATTGTTTGCAGAACTCTTCAATGAAATGCTTCAGAGAGATTTTGGTGTCAGAATTTACAAAGCACTGATTTCTCTCCCAGAGAGGGAGGACAAAAAAGACAAAAAAAGCAAAAAAGATGAGAGAAAAGAAAAAAAGGAAGAAAAAGATGATGAAACAGATGATCCGAAACCTAAGAGGAGAAAATCTGGAGATGATAAAGACAAAAAAGAAGATAGAGACGAAAAGAAGGTCTGCAGATAGCTCATACGAAGTACTGTCCTGTCTGGAACAATACTAAACTGTTTCTATTTGAATTTTACTTTATTGCTTTTGAGAGCTCAGGTCTTGTAGTGTTAGTTAATTGATTTGACTCGATTTGTTTAAATATGCTTCAGTCATATTCAGTAATTTAAAAATTCACAGGTGTATTGGGGTATTTTAACATTCAGCTTGATCATGTAGATTTGTATTTGTTTTTTAAAGTGACTAAATATAAAAATACGCAAATTTTGAGGGAATGGTAGTGAGGCTTTTTTTTCCTGGTTTTTAGTTCTGACTGGATAAATGTTTACGAACTTTTGTTACAGAGGGAAGATAAAAGGAAAGATGATTCTAAAGATGAAGAAGAAACTGAAGATGACAATAATCAAGAAGAATATGATCCAATGGAGGCAGAAGATGCTGAAGACGAAGATGAAGGTATCTTGAATTATGAATTTTGTGGCTTTCATTTTTTTTTTTTTACTGCCACTGAATATGTTCTTTCAAGCTGGAGAATGCACTGGAACTAGACAATTTAAAATTGCGTTATTAGACTAATTTTATTTTAGTAATTCTGACCAGATCTATTTAAAATGTAAGTGCCTTTATGCTAGGCATTGTATGAACATAGTTGATATAAACTAGCTGTGGTACTCAAAGTAAGGCATGCATATAGAAGTGGTTTTATTTTTTTCAGAATGCAGACCACTCGCAACTCCCATTGAAGTCAGTAGGAGATGTGAGTATTCAGCACCTCTGAAAAACCAAGCCACTTTTAAGTGCCTAACTTCCTATTCCTCAGTTCTGAAATGTCATTCTGTTTTTATTAGGCCAGAATGTAGTGTGGGGTGCTCTCTACCTGATGTTATGAGGAGTTGATTTCTGTTTGGGTGGAGTTGTGTTTGCCTGAAGAAATGGGGAAAGGGGCTGGGGAACTTTTCCTGTCTCCAGGGAGCAGCAGTAGCCGTCTTTCCCTGCTTAGAGATTCAGAAAGGTCTAAGACATGGTGTATGCTTTTTGGTTTGTACTTCTTTGTTTTTTTGTCCTTTTGTGGAGAGTTTTTGCTAGAGATGTGGGTTTGAACTGCTTAGATATGGCAGTCCCAGTCTTTTCAGTTGTATTTTGGCAGAGTACTGCACCAGCCTTAAAAAATTGGTGCTAATCTGTGGTTTCCAAAATAACTCTTACTTGCTTATAATCTGGCTGTGAGAGTGCCCTGGGCTTGTCTGTTCTGTACAAGTGCTGCTACTTCCCATAATCTGTCCTTGTGCCATTCCCAGTCAGAGTTGCTGAGAACAAACCAACATGCCATGGAGGTGCAGGAGAAAGCTATAGCTTCTCAGAAACGTGTTGACAAAATTAGACAAGTGTTCTGATACATAGTTTTTTCCAAAGTTTTCCTCACAAGAAAGGTGAGCTTAAAGCTGAACTTGGCACGTGATTCTCTGACCAAAGACTTGCACATAAGGTACAGAGCTGCATGCCATAATCCATCCCTGCAGTTGTCATATTCCTCTTTCTCTCTTGATTTTGGATTTAGTTTTACTGTACTGTCTACCTTTAAAAAAACAAAAAAAAACCAAAAAAACCCCAAAACTGCAGTTTGTAATTCACTTCTAATAAGCAATGTGATTTGTAACTTCTTGGAGAATCTAAGTCATAGGATCAGTAATATCTCACTCAGACATGAGTATAAACACATGCTTTTGATTATATAGTTAATATGGTTTTTATGATTATAAAATACTTGAGAGTAAATAGTACTGATTTTGTCCTAATAGGAATAACCATAGCTGAATGCAGACTCTGCCAAGCCTCATTAGGGAGAATTGTGGTAATTTTCTGCACCACTTAAATAGATGGTGATGTTGGCGGAACTCATTTTGGCCTAGTTAGCGTTTGTTTCGGCTCTTCTATCCTGTGTGTGTGAAAGAAACACAGGGTTAAAAAATGACAAATGGCTTATGTTAAAATAAGACCAGAGAAAATAAAAATGTAACAGGACTTGCTTAAATGCCATTTGGGTTTTCTATTATTTTTCAGGGAAATACATTAATTTCAGATATTTGGGGGTTTATGTGAACTTTTAAAATTAACATATGTATTTTGAGATAATGGTTATAGAATCGTTTGCTGTGGATATGTTGAATTTTCTTTCTATTTTACAGACCGGGATGAAGAGGAAATGAACAAACGAGAGGACAGAAGAGAGGGAAATAGGCATTGTAAAGAGAGGTCGTCTAAAGATAAAGTAATTAACACCTTTCTTAACAACTACATACAACCTTGTTAGAGGTGTCCTACTTAGAGCTTAACTTTATTTTTATTGTAAGACTATTTGAACTCCTTGATTCCTTCAGCACTTCTGAGCTGAAACATTAAGTGTTTAGAAGTTAGGGAACATGTGGCAGCTTTGGGTAGGGTGCTTACAACCTACTTTCACTTACATTTTAAAGTTTGTTGGGTGAAAGCTGTTGGAAAACTTTCTTAGATACTGCTCTGTCTGAAGGATGTGAGGACTGATGCTTTATATGCATATAAGAAGCAGCAGATGTGATTATTTTATGCATTATTTTCAACTGCTGTATTCTTACTAAGAAAAGCGGAAGCTTAGCTTGATTGATAAACTGGCATAAAACAAGTTTCTGATTCTTTTTTATTTTTTTCTAAAGGAAAAATAGGAGATGTTGGAATAATGGGAAAACAGTGCAGAATTGCTGTAGCTGTGAGAGCTGGATGCTTATTCATTACATGTTTATAGGGATTTCACTTTGAAAACAGCTGTTCAGTAAAATATATAATTGAGAGAAGGGATGTTTACTATTACTTGTTTAATTGGGTTAATTCTTCAAATTTTGTGACAAACTAGCATGAACAAAAGGAAAGTGTGTCTACCAGATGTTACTGTGCATTGTGCTGTAATTCTTTTAAATATTTGAGAGATTACTTATTCTAAGTAGCTAGCTTGTATTATATTTGAGCTCAGTAGGTGAATGCTAGTTATATTAATCGCCTGACTGAAAATAACGATAAAATGAACAGAGGAAAGCTTTTGTTAACTGAAAAGTTACATGTTTTTAGTAGATGATGGGAAAATGGTATTTTAACTTCCTAATGATCCTGTGAATGAATCTTCTGTAGGAGAAAGACAAGACGCAGATGGTAACTGTTAATAGGGATCTTCTGATGGCCTTTGTTTATTTTGATCAAAGTCATTGTGGATATCTTCTGGAGAAAGACATGGAGGAGATACTATACACTCTTGGACTACACCTGTCACGTGCTCAGGTTTTGTATAGTAATAGAAATCTCTTTGAAAATATTACAGGAATGCTGTAAGTGTAGAGTATATATATGGAAGTATAGTTTAGCTTCTAAAGGCTGTTGCTTACATACTTGATCCCTGATTTTTATGTAGCCACTTCATATTTACAAAGAAATACTAGTTTAATCTTTTGTAAATTGTCTTGGAATGAAAAGATGAAGTTTGCAGCTCTTAATATGCCCATATTGTATGTGTAGCTTTTGTCTCAATAGTCTTTTGGGTTTTTTTTCCCCTAGCTTGTTTTCATTTTAAGCCCCAGTATGTTAAAAGTTCAAAAAGCTGTGCAATTTCTCTAAGTTTTCCAAGTTAAAACATTCTTGTTTAGGTAATACAATGTCTGCATATTAAGTAACACTGTATTTCTTTCTGTGGCTGTGTTTTAGGTCAAGAAGCTACTTAATAAAGTAGTGCTTAGAGAATCTTGCTTTTACAGAAGACTAACAGATACTTCTAAAGATGAAGAAAACCAAGAAGAGTCTGAAGAGCTACAGGAAGATATGTTAGGTGGTATTACTTTTTTTTTTTAATGCCACAAACTTCCAGAGAATTGTTTCTGTGAAAATAATAGTGAGAGTTTGGAGATACTTGCTTTCTTGCAGAAACTAATTCAGGTCTGCATGGAACCTGCCAGTTTGGAAAAGTAAATCTTGGGCAGTTCATAAATTGCAGTATTTCTGGCTTCCAACACACCTTGTTGCATCTATAGGATAAATCTTAATATCTTGGAACAGGAAGGAGGACAGAGGTTAATGTTGAATATTGATGAACAACATTTCTCATTCACAGCAGTTTTGCGGTGAGGAGGATCAGTGCTGTAGGTAGTAGAACAGAGCCTGATTTTTGAAGATAGATTACTGCAGAAAGGAGGCATAGAAGAATGTCATGAAAGAGCATGCTCCTTTTTTGGTGGGGGAGGCGTAATTGGGGTAATGAGGGAGGAGAGAAATGTGAGGCATAGACCAGCAAACTTGAATCTGTATTTATTCTATTAGGAATTTGTTCTTCTAAGAAGTTTTTGAGGTTGGTCACTAGAACTGAAAAATGACAGAATGATTATTTCTTAATGCTACTTAATCTAATACAGGAAACAGATTACTGTTACCATCACCTACTATAAAGCAAGAATCAAAAGCCATAGAAGAAAATGTTGGCCTCATTGTGTACAATGGAGCTATGGTGGATGTTGGGAGCCTTTTACAGAAGCTGGAGAAGAGTGAAAGAGTGCGGGCAGAGATAGAACAAAAGCTTCAGTTACTAGAAGAAAAAACAGGTGGGACATTATTTGAAGGTGGTACTTATATGGATGCAAGACACTAAGACTTTTTAAGTAGATGAACCAATTTGAGTATATTTGTGATCTAAATTCCTTAGCTATTTGTTTACCATAAACTTATATTTTCTATTTCCCAAGCCCTTTGAACTTGCACACCATCTATTGTTGAGTACTGTTGGCACCATTCTGAAATGCTTTTATCTTTTTTATTCAAGCTGAATGTAAGACTTCCAAGTGTAGTCAGAATTCAGTGTTATCAAATGGTAATGCAATGCAGTTTTTAATGTTCTTTAAAAATTAGTAGTTACGGTGTTGGCATGTAAATGGACTATTAAGATGCAAAGTACAGAGCATTGGAAGTGACTGACTTTTTTTTTTTTTTCTTCCCCCTAAGATGAGGATGAAAAGACCATACTACAACTGGAGAATTCTAACAAAAGTCTGTCTACAGAGCTTAAAGAAGTGAAAAAGGACCTTGGCCAACTGCAAGAAAATTTGAAGATCTCGGATGATAAAAATTTGCAATTTGAGGGTCAGCTGAATAAGACAATCAAAAATTTAGCTACTGTTATGGATGAAATACAGAGTGTTCTTAAACAGGTTAGAATTGTTTAATTCCATTTTTTATTGTATGCAAGCTTCCTGTAGACTAAATTATCAGAACAAAAACTTGAGAATAAAAAAGAATTTTCACATTAATTCAGGGCAGTAGTATCTTAACATACATATATATATATATATATATATATATAAAAGATGCTCAATGCGATACTGATTACTTAAAGACAACAAATAAAATGTATTTTTTCTAAGCTTGAAACACATGTTCTTGACTTAAATATTTTTTAAAATCTATAAATATCAATGTAAATCTCAAACCATCTTAATGTTTTCCTGTCCTGACCTTGTCCACCGTAACAGTCAAATCTGCTCTTCCATTTGATGAGTTAGGAGTAATTTTTCAAGGCAGAATTGAAGTATTTCAATTTATGTGGGTGTATTTCAGTAACATGAGTTTTAAGCAAACTGCATAATGCTCCAGAGCATTTCTATCACTGTACAGAAAGATACTTGCATATTCCCTAGGAATGCTGAGGGGGGTCTGTTAAGTAAGGCTGAATAGAAGTAGGTTATGAAGGCTACTGAGTGGCAAACTGGTACTATGAGGGAGCCTTGCTTCTGCTTCTATCTACATTTATTTTGAAGCTCTAAAACCAAAACCACACGCACACAAAAAACCCTAGAAAACTTGACAAATGTTAGAACTTTTTTCCCCCCGTGTAGGATACAAGTGATGCATCATATAAGTTACTGTAGCTTATTAAACTGGCAGTACCTTGCAGCTGTCTGTCACCAGTATCATTATGCAGTCCTGTGCTTCACTAATGTTGTAGACCTGCTACTCCACCTGAACTGGCAGCTGAAGGCACCGCATAATGCTCTTTTGCCATGCTCTTAGCTCAGTTAAATAGCCTTGCTCATTTCTGTCTGGTTATTTTTGAGATAAAAATGTCTTCTAAGCCTAGTGTTTTCTGATGGCTCTGGACAATATAAGTATTTTATTTTAGAACTATTATGGTAAATGATAATCCTAATTTAATGGATTTTGCAAGAATTTTCTACTTGCTCTTTCAAAAAAAAAACCAACCCAAACCAAAACAAAAAACTCAACAACCCCAAACCTTTAGACTATGAAGTCGGGCTTTTGGGGATGTTTTTTGTGCTTCTCTTCAGAAGTGCTTAAGTCACATTTAATTTCTGCCCCCTCAATTTTTCAGGAAGATCCTGGAAATATGAATTGGTTATAACGAACTGATACCTTACTCAGTTTAACATGGTATTTAAAGTTGCTATCAAACTGTATCTTTGTCTCATGCTGCTTTACAGTTCACATGAGAAATAGCACTTCTAGAATTCATGTTATCCTCTCCCTTTTTTCTTTTAAAGGATATTGTGAAGAACGAAGATAAAGATCAGAAATCCAAAGAAAATGGAGCAAACGTATGATAAAACTGCTGCTGTTTAGAAGAATAATGTTACATAATGTAATATAAATCATGATACCAGAATGTATGGGAAGTGATGCATGTTTGATTTTAGTAGTATAAATATCTTAGTTCCAAAAGATGTATAAAGTTTTATGAATGTGAGTGTCTGCTTCTGAAGATTGCTTGTAATTCTTAGCATTCAATTTGAGACACTCCTTGAGTGAAAATAATTTTGCATTGCAAAATGTTTTAGGATGAACTTTGTTATAGTTTTAACCCTAATAAAGTTCATCAACGTAATGAACAGTAGCAAGTATTTAATTACCAAATGTTTTTCATTAAAGTCTAGTGAAATCAAAATTTTCATTATTTATAGAATTGCCATTTTTAGGTTTTTATTTTTATTTCGGTCTAATTAGTCTTTTTAAATTCAAATATAAATCACAAAATAGCATGCTGCTTAATTTTGCAAGTAAAGTTTTTTTTAAAAAAAGCTTCTTGGATATTTTTTTTTACTTGTCACAACTTTCTTTTCCCTTCCAAATGTAACTTTCTTCCCCAAAGCTGCTTGTATTAAAGCCTCATAATATACAGTAGTTCAGATGAGTTCAGAAAGCAATAGAAACCTACCAAAATACTGGTAGGGTTGTGAGATTTATATGAAAATACATGGGCCTGTTTTAAATGTATGTCATTTGTGTTCCTTTAATTGTTCTTATCTTTGGATTAATATATATGCTCCTTTTTAATAACAGATGCAGTGTATTAAAATGTATGGTTGGATACCAGGCCAGTAGATGTCAGAATAATGCCTTACATGGAGAAAAAGCTACCATTGTAAGCCACCTTTAATTAAATTTGGACTGCTTTCTTAATATGTGTAATTACTTCAAAGACTTTAGTCCAACAAAAGAATGGATACACAAGTATCAATACTCCATGTTATAATTACTAAGGAGCAGGACACAACCTGTTTTTTTGAAAGTGGGTAAGATTGCCTTCCTTTGTGTTCACAAATCACTAGAGCTCTAAACTTACAAGTTAACTTGACAATATTGTCAAAGGCAACTTATTCAAATAATGTGAAATACGAACAATTGTATTTTGGTGCAACTTCCAGGAAAATTAAGGGTTTTGAAGGTTGGGACAGAAGTGTTTTCTCACAGAAATGGATAATTTTAGCAGACCTTTTCTTTTTTAGCCTAGATGTCCTAGGTAACTAAATACCTGTTAGGAGAGTCCAAGTGCCGTAATGTGTATGAATAACCTACATGGAAACTCATGGAGCTTTACTGAGATACACATTAAAATGCCTGAATTTATGTTCAAAAGAGTCTAAGCTGGTACTTTTATCACTTACCTTTCTTGGCTCTTTTGAAGCTAGACAAGTAAAATATATTTTCATTAAAATAACATGCATAAGCTTCCCCCTCATTCATCTCAGCTGAGTCACTGTATAATATCTTAACTGTTCACACTGAAGTAGGAAGTACTATAAAAACACTAATTATTGCATATAAGTACACAGAAAATGCATGCTTTATGAATTAAGATATAACAGCTCATTAGAATGATTGAATGAGGATGGTGATAAATTAATCTTATGAAGAGCATTACCTGTGGTGTACAGATGGTGTTAACAAATTCTTTTGTAATCAAATTATATTTTTCACCTTTACCTTTGTACAAACTGTTGACAGCATGTTTCATTTTTGACTTTGAGCACCATTTACTTAAATGGACTTGGAAGGATTGCGTTTGAAACACTTTGTTCATGAATTCTCAGCACTACATGTGAACATACAAGAAAATAATTCTAGAATTCAAGATAACATCTTTTTAGGCACACTGAAACATCTGTTGAAATATTTTGCTGGGCTGTTTTTACCTTAAACTGCCAAGCTGAAAGCAGTTGTTGCGACAAGCAGGCCTCATCTTGTGTTTCAGTGAGTGGCCCTGTGAGATAGTTGCTAGAGCGATACAGATTTTTACAGTATTTAAGAAAAAAGTATTTGTTAGAATGAGTGTAATCTTTCTCTATATTGTTTTGATGTAATAGTGTTTCAGATACTATGTACAGTCTGCATTTCTGTTGGAAAGGAAATTAAAAGGGTAAAGAATAAAGGAAAAAAACCAAGGAAAAGTTTGACAACCTACACAGAGCTTGACCTGTCTCCTGAAGTACAACTAATCTGAGGAAGACCAGACACCTCCACAGACTGTTTAAGTTGCTTTACCAAACAGCACAAGGTTCTGTATATACACAATATCAATGCTGGTCATTAGCTAAACCTTCTTGATAATATTCCCAGAAATAGAACTAATTCTTAAGAAAATTGAGTAGAGTATCAGTAATAGAGGTTTAGAGAAGCAATCTTCTGTCAGTTTTAATTTATGAACAATGTTTTTTCATTTCATTTCCACACTTTCCATCTCATGGACTTTCCGCTTCTAAGTCTTTCATTACATATCAGTTGCTGGTGAAAGGCTGGTAAAAGTGAGCCTAAGCTGGGTTTTACTCTGATGCCTGAACATCCAGTTTGCTTGTAGTTTTAAAATCATCACAGATGCTCTGTGGAAAGTAGTAAAGGTCAGACTGCCTTGTTCTGTAGAGAAAGCACTGCTACAGCAGACCAGTAAATGGAATCTGGTCTCACTTTATAGGTTATTTCCCTTCCCTTTTGTATTTTGTCTAGTATGGGGGAATTAATGAGTTAAACCCTTACAAAGTGATATTCGGACATCAGTGGATGTGTGTGAATAAGGCTAGGAAGAAAGTTCCAAGTGATACATCTGCATGCAAAATGGTCTAGAATAAAGTAGGCTCTCTTGAGGCCCCTTTGCTTTTGCACTGGTAATAAAAAGGCAGAAATATATAGTTTCAGTGCTACATAGCAACAGTGGCAAATAGGCCAACAGTGAATTTTTGCTAAAGTTTTCTGAAGTGTTGAGGATTGCATGCGGGATAACGGAGCTGCTTCCAGCACTGCTGCATGTTCTACCACGATAAAGACACATAATGTTTTCTTGACTCACCCAGTGCTTGATGCTTGTGCCTGTAGCGCCTGGGCACTGCTGCAAAATCACTTCCCAGTTGTTGCTTGGTTTATCCCAGTTGTTGCCTGGTTTATCTGGTGTCCTCTGGCTCAGCCTGGGGCACCCTAAAGTGTACAACAAAGAAGTTGGAATTCTCTGTCAGGTGCCTGTGGGTTTCCATAGATCCAGCATTTACAACTGAGTTGTTTCAGAATCTAACATGATGAAGCCTAGTCCTTTAACGTAACGTTTTTTCAATGTTTAATTGCTTTGAGAGAGAGATGAATGGCTTTCAGTCCATCTCTCTGCTGAGTCATGTACTGTGTGAATATCTGTTTGGACTTATGTAACACAGTTAACTTTCACTGACAATTTTATCAGGAATGTGCACAAAATGTGGTTTTTTTCTCTTGCTTCTCTGTAATCTTTGTGTACCCAGGTCAGGTTCTTACCTTGAATGCATTTGTTCAGTGCAGTTTATATTTAAAAATATAAAATATAAAATAATTAATTTTGAGTGACTGAGTCTTATGGCCAGCAATAGATTGCAAAATATGTAGGTAGCACAGTCAATACACTTATGCTAATATTTTCCAGAAAGCAGAAATGGTTCAAGTAGAAATTCAACTGGGACTTGTATATTGCCATGTAGTGTGACAATAAAAATGGCACAAATAATGAATACCTCTACTCAGCCATCAAAACTGCCAGTGTTTTCCCACCAAACTTTTATGTTTCTGCATACTGGGTCTCATTAGATGTATGGCATGAAAGTAGTTACAGTAAAAAGCTCTAGTAACAAAATGTATTACTTTAAAGCAAAAATAATTTTCCTTTTTTTATTCATTCACTATATAATCAATCCATGGCATCATGTTACAGAGTATAAATTTAGAGTTTTGGAACACACCAAGTATTGCCTGAAGTCATGTTTTGTAGCATTTTACCTGTGGTTAGGAACCTTGCTTTTGAATTTCTAGGCATCCGATACCTGAATTTGTATTGAAAACATGTGACACTGCAGTTGTATGCTGCTTTTGATTCCTTTTATTGTGCTGGTTTTTAAATTGTTGTTCTCTTTAACGAGTGGATTCTAACTTGTTTGAGGATTCAGGTTAAGTATCCTACAGTACGTGTAAGAACCAGTATCTTTTTCAGGTGTGATTCAGTAATCCTGCAAGCTGTTTTAGCTAGGCCAGATTAGCTCAGTTCTCTTTAGTCTTCTCTAAAATGACAGCAGAATAGTGGTGCTGAGTAGATTTGTTTGTTGCTTGCCTGCTGCAATTTGATTTTTTTGGTGCAGGGTTGTGAGGTTAAACTATTAGAGTTTTTCTATAATTCCTGTGGTACTTTACTACCCTCAGACCATTTACAGAGCATGTTAAGCCACAGATACATGTTGAAATACTTCGTTGATAGAAATTGTTCAAATTGTTCAGTGACGTCCATCTATTCAGATCTAACAGTCTTTCTTTCTTGCCCAGGCTGAGTAAAGAGCTTGTGTAGGTAGCTTTTGTTCTTGCTAATAACTCCGTCTGCAGTGTCAAGGCACGTTCATGCAAACTTCCCATAGGAAAGCAATCTGCCAGCGTGGTGAGGTCTGATCATTTCATTTCTTTGTGGGAAGCAAATGATGTGGTCCGTGGGGTGCCTCTAAAAGTCTTTTCTCTCATATGCTCTAGAATCTTCCACCTTAGCTGATGCTGGAGCGTCGTAGTGATCTTTTGGAACAAATAGGTAACGATAGTCCTGTGAGGGGGCTCTGAATGTTTGGAGAAAGTATGCTTGCAACCTTTTTAGTGGTGTACAGAAGGATTTGTTTGAGTGTGAGGTTTGGGGGTTTTTTCCCCCTGTATTGCTTAATTCTTTTTGGTCTTCCTGACACAGGGTCATCCAGTTACGTTCCTGTTTTGTTATGTAACAGGCAGAAACAGCTGGAGAACAGCAACCTTCATTTTTGGTCCCTTTTTAGCAGGGCTGGATGGGAGCCAGCAGATCTGCATATAAAAAAAGCAAAAATTGGTGCCACATGTCATATCGTAGAAATAAGCAGTTTGAGATAAAAGTATGTTGTAATGCTGGTCTGAAAAACCACTTGTCTCACAGACCAGCCTGATTTACTGTAGAATGGTCATTTGCATGTGTGCAGAGGAAAAGTTGAATGAGAAGGAGGCAATTTTCACTGTAAGTATAATGCATACACAGGTTGGGGAGTCGGGTTGTTACACTTTTAGCTTGGTTCTAATATGAAATGAGAGAATTTT